TTTTAAAGTGTGTATTAATGTTTCAATTTCAATTCAAATTTCGAAACAATCACTAAATTGGCATGTAACTAGTTCACAAAACTGGGGTTGGGGAAATTCGGGGGGGGGTGTCGGGAAATCCCTGGATCCAGTCCAGGACTCAGGGTCCATGCGTGGGGCAGCTGGCCCATCCCACCTCCTGCACCACCGAGGCTACACTGCTATTTTCACTTCGCTAGCTCCAGCAAAGTTAATTACACCTCCAGCTGCAGCGCAGCCCACCCCTTAGTCTCCAATCTGCAGGTAGCTGGTGCCAAACCCAAAGTGGCCCTGCCTTCCAGCAACTCCCTTACAATACAATACCTCAGAGCCAAAGATTATGCTGGTGTAATGCCACTGAGGTAATGGAGTTACACCAGGGGAGAATTTGGCCCTGGTAATGAAGAGCTGGGCAGGGTTTGAGGCATCAATTGTCAAGCAGCCAATGGGATGGAAGATTTTGCCACCTCTGCTCCAGCTGTCTCCTATTTAAAGCAGCAGCTTGTGATCTGGGAGCAACATCTTGCAAGATTGTGCCAGAAGGTGAGTTTGTACCATTGATCAGGCGGGATTCTCCAGACTGAGCCTTGGGGCAGGATTTGGGGCCCAGCTCTTGCGTGTGCCCAGCTCCCTGGGGCCTCGGCCATAGTCAGGGTGGCAGTGGGGCAACTTTCAATGGTTTTCAAAAGTGATGGCGTTAATCTGGTTCCAGGCACAGTGGGGACGCTCTTAATCCTATGTAGCAAGGGATCAGCTTGGGATAAAATTTTGTAAAGCAGCTAAGGGATTTAGGAGCCAGCGTTCCATTTCCAAAGTGACTTAGCTGCCTATGTGCATCATTAGGCGCCTAAATGCCTTTGGTATCTGGCCTTTAGGAGCCTTGTCTCACTGAAAGTCAATTATGGTTAGATCGGTTATTTATTAGAATCTATATGTATGGTCATCCGCTTATTTCTGCACTACGCATTCCTTGGCCATGGGATATCACAGTTATAACTCTTAGGCTGGCACCTTTATTGGTGTGACCGGTGTCTGTGCAGGGGCGTGGGCAGGCGGGGTGTGCCCGGCGTCTGTGCGGGGGGGGTGTGTGGGCAGGGAGTGACCGGTGTCTGTGCAGGGGTGGGCAGGCGGGGCGTGACCGGTGTCTGTGCGGGGT